GAAAATGCAATGGAAAACAAAAAGTACAGAGAGTCCCTGGACTGATGGAGCAGCAGAGCAGCCAGGACATGGAGCACTGAGAAGAATCCCCGGTGGACTAAATTTAACTCAGGGAGGTGACCCGAGGGGGCTTCTTGAGGGCAACTGGCTGCATTCCCGAGCAAGGCTGGTGTGGTGAAGCTGAGAGCTAGTGGGCCACCAGAGCCTGGGGGGATCACATGGGGAGGGAACAGTATGCAAGGGATCACAGAGGGTCCCTGATTCACATTGATTCACCTTGGGATGTTTTGGCTTTATGATGGTGCAGAAACGGTACACATTTACCAGAAACTGTCCCTCAATTTCCTTACTCTGATTGCAGGAGGATTTCTCTGACAACACTGGGTCATGGCACTGGGCCATGGCTCCCAGTCAGCACTGGGTCACAAATGAATCCTGTCAGTGGCCTACAGTGCTGTGAAGCTGTGATGTTGTATAAGTCAGGTGTAGTAAACTCAACCTACAGTCCTCCAACTTACAGTGAGACGACTGTGATGTAACCCACCGTAACGTGAAGCCCATCTGCAGATGAGGAGAGATCCTGCAGGAGAGGCACACAGCCCTGGGGCTAAAAACCTGATGAGATGGAGTGGAATGAGTTCAGGGAGGCAGGCAGGGGCAGAATGTGTGTGACATAAATCTGGGGTGTAAATCAAGAGATGGAGGGAAGGGGAAGTGATGGAAAAAGAATTGAGATGTGTTGTGTACGTGTGCCCATACCCACAGGGAGTGTAATCACTATGTGCTGCAATGACTGACAAATAGAAAATGAAAATTGAAATAAAAAAGGAAAAGAAAAACAGATAGGGCAGAATTTAAGCACAGGTCACTGTGGTAAAATTCAAAAGCACCTGGATGACACCAGTGAGGTTGGGAAACCAGTGATCTTTTGGGATGCTGGGGACAGGGCTCTAGAGGACAGTCGGGCCATGTGTATTAGAAACCTTCTAATAACACTCTTTAATACGGTTCCACCGCCTGGAGCTTCTACCAAGAACATAATCAGTAGGACACTGAGATAGCACCATTTAGACTTTCCATACAGAGAAGTTCCTCCCTTGGCCAGCGCAAGGTCCTGAGTTTGATCCCTGGGCCCCCCCACCGCCCCAAAAAAAAGAAAAGAGAGAGAAGTTCCTAACTAGGAATGTGTTCCCTTTTTTTTTATTCCAAAATGGAATTCTAGAGCTTTTCTTTCTGAATATGCAAAACCATCTATTTATTTAAATAGTTTCTTCTTGCTGTATAAGGAATTGTAATTGTACCATTTGGGGTATGTGGGGGTGCACATTCCCTTCGTTTTAGGCTGCCATAACCACATGACATCACAGAGTGGCTTCCAAACCCCGGAGATGTATTTTTACTGACCTGGAGCCTGAAAGTCTGATCCAGTGTGTGGTGAGGACAGCAGACAGGGTCTTCTGGGGCTTCCAGGGGCACAAATTATAAGAGCCCTAAACCCTTGCAACCTAATCACCTCCTAAAAGTCCCCACTTCTTAATATTATCACCTTGTTGGAATTTCAACACGCTAATTTTTGGGAGACAAAAACATTCAGAGCATGGCACCTCCATTACATCAAAAGAACCACATTATTTACCCCAACAGAGAGGCAATGCTAAGTCATTTGGCCTTCTTGAGGAGCTGTGGCAGGTTGGGCTTACTCCTCATTATCAAAAAAACCATTGTCAACATCCTCGCTGATTCCAAATATGATCAGACCAGTTGTTAAGAATGTGAAAATAGTTTAAAAATCAGATGAACCCAATTAAGCCAAATATCTCCAGAGATCTTGTCATTTCAAGGACTGCTCAGCAGTTACAGGCACTGCTGTGTGGGCAACTGCTCTAAGTCATGAGATTTTGCAACACGGCTCCGTGGACAGCATGCTGCTTGTCCTTCGAGCTATATGGGTCATGTAAAACGCAGAGATCCTGGAAGCTGGACAATGAGCCTTCCGTCTACAAATACAACTTTTATCAGTGATTTTTGTTTTTCTGTGCATTCTAGAATGTTATCATGAGCTAGGGCTACCAACCCCTAACTCAACCCTAAGATTCAGGAGTACAGATTCTGGCTACTTCCAACATTCACCTAACCAGGAAATAAGAGATGGATTAACTTCACTGGACCCGTTTCCTTGTCTGTGAATTGGAGGTAATAATACTGCATCAGGTTATTTGTGGGAATTAAATGAGCTAACACCAATAAGGAACTAAGAGCCATGCCTTGCTCACCATAAGCCCAAACAACATCGACTACCCCTATTCACAACAGAGAGACATTATGAGAGATGATAATTTTTGAAATTAAAAGAAAATTTTAATCCACTAAATGAAAATGCTGCTTTTGAAGAAAAGGAAAACACGTCTAAGACTGCACTTAAACTTTTAGCTTCAACCAAGCAAATCTTTCTGTTGCTACCCACAAAGTGGCAGAACTGCTGGTTTCCAGGGATTCGAGGAAGGTAGCCATGAGGGTGTGGCTGGGTTAGTGGCAGGGCCTAACAATATTGTTAGAGGCCATGGGGGAGAGCCAGGGGAGCCCGATTTGAAGAACACAAACTTAGAGGCAATGTAAAGCATGAATGGCTACCTTGGAAGGAGGTATAGGCAGCCATGATTATATCCACTTCATGGAGCTGCCATGAAAATTGAGATAACTATGTAAACTATGATGTTCCAACATTGACTCATTGACTAGGACTTACTAAAATACTCTTTTTGGGGGGGGGTGCTACAAGGAATTTAATCCAGGGCCTTCCCACTGAACTACATCCCAGCCCTTTCTTCCTTTTTTTTCAAAATTTTGAGACAGGTTCTCGCTAAGTCACTAAGTTGTCCAGGCTGGGCTTGAACTTACAATCCTCCTGTCTCAGCCTCCAACAGTGCTAGGATTGCATGCACTACGTCTATTATTTTGCACTGATATTTCCATTACCTTGGCCTCTCACTGTTTTTACTGCTGCTCAGCATGTTTTTTTGGTTCTCTTCTCTTCTTACCTACCCAGTTATTCTACTGTAAATCCTCCAATTCTCTGAGTCCTCTGCAGCCATGACCCAAGGACTGGTGCTGCAATGGAGTAGGTGCATGAGAGTTGTAGAGCAGACCGTGTTGCCAGATGAGACCCTAACATCTCTGCTATGAGCTGAGGCTGACACTATTTGAGAGCACCCACTTTGAAGTCAGATGGCCCTGGGTTCCAATCCTGACTTGTGTCCACAGTTACACAGCCCTAGACAATGTAATTTCTCAATGCCTCAGTTGGCTTGTCAAGTTGGGTCACGGTGTCTGCTAGACAGCTTTTGTGCACTCTTGCAGATGTACTTCTCCCTTCCCTGCCCCATTCTGTGCCTGGAAATGCATCATTGGGCTCTCCTGCCCTCTGGCTTCCTTGTGGGGAATACTAGGAGTTGAGTCTACACGTTATTCAGGCTCTTCCCAGGGTAGCTCTACAGTCACTGTACATAAATCTCACCTGTGGAGTAAAGTTTAAACTTACATCAGGACAGGAGCCTGACTTTTATCTCCTCTTGTTCTTCCAAATAATGAAGCCAGATTTCTTACTATTTCTTGAGTATGTTCATATAATTTCTTTTTTTTTTGTACTGGGGATCGAACTTGGGACCTTGTGCTTGTGAGGCAGGTGGCAGAGATTCATATAATTTCTTACTTCTTGCTGCTCCTGTCCCCTACCAGGTCCTCTCTTGTGTAATAAAATCCTACTCTTTGCTCAAGACCTAGTCAGATGCCTCCAAGCTATTCCCCCTTCTAGTCCCCAAAGTGGGCATCAGTCTTTTGGAAGCACTCCCACATAGCCATGTGCATCTCTCTTCTTCCAGCACTTTATCACACCCTGCCCATATTAGAATCGCACTGTCTTTCCCTTGGTGTTTTGAGAGTTCTCTGGGCAATATTTGTGTGTTACCCACCCTGTGCCTCTGACATCACTCACCTACAGAGGCTGATAAATAAACACTTCATGAGTGATGTGGGTGGGCTTTGCTGGTGCGAGAAGACTGGAAGGTGTGCGAGAAGACCAGAAGGTATCCGAGAGACTGATGAAATCTCGAATTACAGATTCATGTAAACACTATTTAATGAGCCCTTGGTCCCGAAGTTCTTCAACAATATGACTAAATATTGCATTTCTATATAATATTGCTTAGGTTACAGGGAGGGAATGAGGATCAGGAAATTCATCTTTAATCTCTCTTCTGGATCATTGCTACTTACAGTTCATGACCAAGCATCATCTAAAAAGGTTCCCTAAGGTGACCCTGCAAAAGCAAGGATATTCCAGAACAGATGGCAGGCTCAGGCAGGGGGGAAGTGAGGGGAATGTGTAATGGAATTTTCATTCTCTGCCTGCCATCCAGGGGAAATAACACATATTCTCAACACTGCTGTCTCTGATTCCCTCTTAACCATGATGAATGAAAAATGGGGACTTAGTGGGAACCTCAGCCAAGATGAATTGAATGTGCAGTCTGTCCCTGTACTGCTACTTGCTTAAGGAAATGCCAGGGAATTAATGCAGGGTCACTACCTCTATATTATTGCTCCAGTTTATGTGGGAAGCAAGATCTAAATCTACCGTCAACAGTGAGGAAGCCTTGGGTAGATTCACCATTGGGCCACCCTGCCCTATAGCCATTCACAGTCTAAAGTATTTCAACTTAATTTGAGGTCACATCGTGTGAGCAGATTCTCCATGCTTGAGTTACTCTTTGGTATGAAACATAGTTATCTTAAGGAATTTTAAGCCAAGGTTAAAATATAGCTTACTGAGGACTTTGAACTGAAGCTAGATGTTCTATCCCCCATGAAGCAAGCTTCAGTGACTACCCGCTGTTGTAACTCCATGGTCTTTCCCTCATCTCAGAAACTCGACCTGGTTTTAGCACCTGGGGGTGGGGCATACGCAGAGGGGGATGATCTGTGAGTTACGAGTGTCCTCTGTGGCTGCTGGTGGTGGCCAGAGTAGGTTGGATCTCCAAATACCCAGCAGCGAAGTATGAAGTATGTGTCCTGCTTTCCTGGAACTTTCCTTTAACTGGCATTTAAATGTAGTTCACAGAACGAATGCGTAGGAAACAAAGACAATATTTCACACCTTTAGTGTCATTTCAACTACAGGTAACCATTTGTTTCTTCTGCTCTTATTTATTTTCATGGCAACATGCTTCATTGGATGGTGGAGAGGGTTAGGGAACAGAGCCTTGAAGTTTAAGTGCTACATAGAGTAAGCAATAGCATACAAAAATATTAAGTACTATGTATAAAATATATTACTCACTACTCTGTTTCAACCTATTAACTCCTTGAGAGTGGAATCCATATTTAAATCCTTCTTGATTAAAACCAACACGAACATTTAAAGTTCCTAATTTCTATTGTCTTTTATCTGATAAATGTTGTTAAAATTAATTTCTAATATGAGTTGCTATAAAGTATCTCTCTTCCTCTTTTTGTTACCCACAAATCTTTTGTGACTGTCCCTAAATTCAGGACCAGCCTGTTTGGAAGGGAACCATCCACCCTTCAGGCTCACCTGCTAAGAATGGCATATGGAGTCCTGGTGGAAGGGTCCTGGTGTCTCGCATGTGTGATGTGTGAAGGGTTTTTCTTTTCTTTTTTGGGTCACAGATGAATGAATACCAAATTTTGCAGCTGCTTTATTTTCCCTGTCCAAAGGAAAGCTATTCTAAAAATAGAATCAAAGGGAACAAATGGTTTGCTTGATAGACTATTTTGAGGTGCAGGACATTTGAGAATTCAAAAATGAAAGTATGTTATGCAGTGAGATGAAAAGCATACAGAGTTTGCAGAGGGCTGGGAGTGTGACTTTTAAATGAAAGCTTCAGTTGGTCAAGTTTATGGCTATGTGTCACCTTAGACATTAGGTTAAATTATTAAATTGCCAATATGATACAGTTTAAAGTTTCAAAGTTCTACATAATCTTTCCCATGTACTGCAAAGTCCTCAGTATCTTTGGGACACAGTTTTACAGGGTCTTAGTTACTTTTCTCATTGCTGAGACAAAATACCTAACACCCAAGCTTAAAGGAAGAAATATTTATTTGGCTCACAGTTTGTAGAAGTTTCAGTCCATAGTTGACTGGCTCCAAGGCAGGGTGGCATGGCAGAGGGGCATCCCAGAAGAGAAACAGTTCATGGTGGACAGAAGGCAGCAAAGCAACAAGCAGCAAGTGACAAGATACAAGCAGTGACACTCTTTCTGTCCCTTATATCTTATCCAGACTACCCACCCATAGCACTCACACCCAGGGTAAGGCAGCCTTAATCCTAGCATGCAGTATGAATCAATCCCAGTTTCTCAACCTTGATGCCGGCACCACACACCCTAGATCCAGCCACCTCCAAAAAGCCCCACCTATGACTGCATGAGGCTTTGGGGGGACATCTAGGTATAAACCTTAACATACAGTTTCTAGGATAAACTGCAAGCCTGTGAAATGAGGTCAGAAGTCTTCAAGGTTTTCAACTCTTGTGAGAACATCTGGCCTCTGAGGATTCTCGGTGTTGCCATGGTGCACACTGAGCACTGGGTCAACCAGAACTTCACCAGTGAGCTCACAGCCTAAAGTCTTCGCTAGGAATCCCATCTTCTCTGTGGGGCTCCTGTTTCCTCTCTCTTTTGTATTCTGTCATTGAGTGGACTGATATTGTGTGTGCAAGTCCTTTGTGTCCTGTCCATAACCAGGGGTCTTTTAGGGGGTGTTCTTACACAGAGTTTTAAATGTAATTATACTGCATATAGTTGTATCTCTTGCTTTTTCATTTTTTTCATAAGTACTTTCATTCACGTGACATTCATTACTTCTTTTAAAATACTTTGTCACAAAATGTGCTCACATTTTAAAAATTAGTGATATAGCAGTGTAAAAGTAAAAAGTGAAAATGATCTTTATTTCTATCTCCACACCCACTACTTCTGTGTACACATATTCTTTTAGGTTTTTATCTACAAGGGGTGGACATGTGTATGTAAGTGTGGTTACATGTAGAAACTGCTTCTTTTCATAAAAGGGATCAGTCTAAGGATAAGAGTTGTGACCTTTTTTTCACTTAATAATGTACCCTGGGCTGTCAGATATAGCAAATAAAGCTGGAAAATGCCCAATTAAATTTGAATTTCAAATAAACAACATTTTAAATGTATTTCCCAAGTATTGTGTGAGACACGTTGACACTAAAAGTGACTCATTGTTTATCTAAATTCACATGTAACTGGGTGTTCTGTTCTTTGTACTACGAACATGCTTTTATATCGGCACACTTTGGTCCACCTCTATTTGTCTAAGCTGAATAGCACTTCATGTGCTAAAACGTTGCTAGGTGATGACTCTTGATGCTAGAATTAAGGGAATTTTTATCTTCTTAGTTCCTTTCATCTATCTTTGTCAGAAATTTAGCATTAGAAGAGCCTTATCAGGAGATTAGGTCCTCCTAAAAGGCAGAAGCCTTCGTTTCTGCAGGGGGTGAGATTATTCTTCATAGAGGGAGAAGACTCTCCAAGGCCATTCCAAGAAGTAGTGACAATGAGACCTTCACCTCACAGGGCCCCTGAGCTTGGTGATTTTTCACTCTCTGGTGCCTACGGCTAATGGAGTTGGTAGACTCTTCTGGGTGGGTGCCCTAAAGTGCTGTCTAATCCTCTGTTCCCATTCCCACACATGGAGTAGCCCAGACAGCCTGAGGTGTTCAGGGAACTTTGTGCTTACAGTTTCTTCTGGGGTCTCTGAGGACAGGAGGGTTTCAGAGGATTTTAAATGACAGAAACAAAAACAACAACAACAATAACAGATGATAAATAATACTTAACATATGTCCTTGTTACCAATGGACACCTAAGAGTTGTGCACACACTGACTTGTTCAATCCTTACAACAACCCTAGGAGATAGGAGCCACAACCACCCCTATTTGCAAAAGAAAGAGAGGAAAAGAGTTGGGGAGGAAAGGTAGTGAGTCTGCTTCCATCATTACAACCAAATACCTGAGAATTTTGTTCTGCTCATATTTTTTGGAGGCTGAAAGTCCAGGACCAGGAAGCTCCATGGATTCAGCTTCTGATGAGGACCTTGTGGCAAGATGGCAAGAGGGCCACGGTGGTGTCACAGCAGGAGTGTGTGAAGCAAGGAGAGATCGTATGACAGGGTGGGAAGCCATACTTGGGGGAGGGGCATCACTCTTACATAGCACCCTCCTAGCTGGGAATCCTTGCAGCAGGCAGTGACCCCAGAGACCTAGGGTCTTCCACTGGGCCCAGCTCTGGAAACGCCACCAACTCTCAACATGACTACATGGAGACCAAGTTTTCTACACACGAGTGCTTGGAGGATGCACTTACACTATATCTAAACCAGGGCAGTGGAGGAAGGGAGGGAGGAGTAGAAGGAAGAAAGGAAAGAAGGAAGGAAGAAAGACAAAAGGAACAGAGGGGAGGAGGGTGAGGGAAAAACTGAGGCCCAGAGAGAGTAAGTAATTGATACAAGATCACGGAGTGGCTATGAAGTGGTAGAGCTAAGGGTGGTTCATGCAGTTAACTCCAGAATTTACAGTCCAAAAACACTAGGCTATATGTATCTAATGTGAATATTTAAGTTGCTGACTGTGTGGTTCATGACAAGCCCACTTCCCATTGTTCTGAAATTTTCAGTAAATTCTGCTATATGCTCATGAATGACTTATGTTTAAGTTTTGCTTCGTCTAGAAACTATAAAAGGGCTGTTTGTCATTTAGGGCTATAAAGCAAAGAAGCAGGAGTGCCCAGGTAGCGATGAACACATGAACATTGATATTTAAGAATCGTCAGAAATTGTTGGGAAGATGTATGTGGTGGATTAGTGGTCAAGTTTAGTGGAAACGCCCAGCTGAACTGAGTCAGCATGGTTCTGGATGTGGAAGACCCACTTAAGGATTGTTGCCATAGGGCATAAAAGGAGAACAGGAGGGGAAGATTGCATGCTGTTGATTTTCCTGGAGAAGCTTGCTGGCTGGTTTTCCTGATACAAACTCGGCTGTTCTCATCAAAGGAGCTCAGGTCCTCGCTGTCACTGGGAATGGCTGCTGTTCTCTTCTGGGTAGCTCTGGTCTTCTCCTTGAGTGTCATTTTCTGGCTCCAGTGCAGATTCCTCAGCCTTCTGGCACAGATCCTTCACCCCACCAGCACAGTCTTTCTAGCTTCCAGCACTGGCCTTTGGGCCTTTCTTTCCTACGCAGATCCTTAATATGGACTTGCATGAGTCATCGCTGTGAGCTCTGGACCTCTGGCTGGACTCATGGGGGACATTGCCGTGGGATCCAGGCTCTCAGCTGGATTCTTCAGGTCTCTAGCATGGACAGATCTCTTGCACTCTTCTACATTTGACTTTTGGGGTAATATTATAAGATAATCTTGTAAAATTTCGTGTTCTATATTGAATCTGTTCTCTGCAAACATCTGACTCTAGTCAACATTGACTAACACAACATGTGGAAGTCAGGCTTCTACAGGGGAAAGATAGCACCTTCAGAGGGCTTCACGGAGATAAATTCAATGAAGAGGACAGAGTGGGTGTGAGTTAAAGGAACCTGCAAAGGAAGGGGAAGCACACAGGGATTGCCAGAGAGAAGCCTTTGTACACCTGTCCTTGAGGTGCAATGGGTGATGACTGTGTTTCTGAGTGTTTAGAAGATGTGGGATCTTGGAATTGAGGCCAGCAGCCAAGCGCCAAGACTGGAGCATGTGCCACTGCTCGAGCTGTGTGAGCCAGGGAGGATGCAGAGGGAATGAATCTTCCTTCCTCAACCACTGCAACTTAAAGGAGGAGAGGTTCATTTTGACTGACAGTTTCAGAGGATCCAGTCCATGGTTGGCTGACTCTAAGGCAGAAACAGCATGGTAGAAGGCTGTGGCAGAGGAAAGTTGCTCACTCCATAGCAGCCAGAAAGCAGAGAGCAAGGGGAAGAGCTGAGGACAAAGACATACCCTTCCAAGTAATGCCCCCAGTGACCAACTTCAACTAGACCCCATCTTCTGAACTCATCAGTGGATGGACCCACTGATCTATATACCATCTCCATGATCCAATCAGTGCCCAAACATAGGAGACTAGGGAGATACCTTAGATCCAAACCATAACAGGGCTCAGATGTACCAAAAGTCCAGAAGTCTCCTGGAAGACAAAATCCTAAGTGGGATGCACTTGGCCTCTCCAAGAGCCCGAGTACATCCTGAGGCCCCTTTTCAAACTGTTACCATCTCTGTGCCTGCCCTGGTCAGTGTGTCAACCCCAGGGTGTGGCTAGAAACATCTGGCTTCCTGCAGCCTGTTGCTAGGCATCACTTGTCTCCAGTGCCCACCACCTTTGGACCAGGCCCAGGATCAGAAAGCTCTTCTCACCCACATCCCAGTGAGTGGTGCCTGTTCTAAGCGCCAGTCAAAGTGTCCTCCAGGCAACACGTTGCTTATGCCAGGGAAGCTACTTTATGATTCACACTTTTTTAAAGGTATATGAGGTATGGTCTAAAAATGTAGTCAATGTTTAAATTTTATTAAAAGTCTTTACACTAAAAGATATGTTGCCTTTAACTCCCTGCCCCAGAATAGTCTCCCTCACCTCAGACACATTCATCCCATCATACTTGCACTTCTGAAAGCAGTTCTGGAAGTCCTCTTCTGTGTCTTTAGTCACACACTTGTAGTTATCTTGGTGCCTTGAATCAATTCAAAACATTGACCTTTCATGGTCATTTGGATTTGGGGGAAGAACAAGAAGTCACACAGCACCAGATCTGGTGAAAAAGGTGGGTGAGGACACTCCCTCATGTTTTCATGAGCCTGCATTTCTGTTGGATGGCACTTGGTAGCAGCATTTGCTTTATGTTTTTAACCACACCTCATAAAGAACTCAGAAAAGAGGACTCCAAAAGTGCTTCAGAAAGTGGCAAGAATGATGGGATAAGAGCGTTTGAAGCCAGAGGAAGTATTCTGAAGGGCATCAATGGCAATATATCTTTTACTGTAATAATTTATAAAAATTTAAACATTTGCCATATATTTGACCATCTTATATATAGTGTAGCTTTTAATTTTAACATGTCATGCAAGTGACACACGATCTCATCTGACTGGCCGTTTTAGGTGAAGTCTTTGTGGGAACAGTGAGTATTCTTACATGTCACTAAGTTTAAGGCAAAGAGAAAGAGGGAGTTATTTTCAGAATCATTTCCATCTGCACAGGCCTTTGCTTATTATCTTGAATGTCCAACAAGACCTACTTAATTTGGACTTAAGTAATATCATTTAAAATCAGAATTTCTACCTCTCAGAACAGGGTCCATGTGGAACTGGCCACAATACAATGTGACTGCCATCTTGTGGTTTTTGTATGCTCTGCAAACCTGAGAGTAGAAAATAGAATTTTTGGGAAGCAATAGTTGTTAAAGTCATAGCAATTCATTTTCAAGAACTTATTTTACCAGAAAATGTTGGGCATATGTTGGACATTTGTCACTGCAGTAAGAGATGATGATTTGCTCCTGAGGACGGAGGCATGGATGGTTAGAGGAATGTGTCAGTGTGAGTTGAGCAGAGTGGGTTCAATCTGGACCCCTGTAGTGGTACTGGAGTCTTGTGTCATTGCTGAAGCCTGGCCTTCCTGCTACTGCTTCAATTAATTACAGCAAGGAAGTGTTTCACTTAACTCTGATCTTAGCTTCTGTCTGACGCAATGTTCCATGATTTGTGGTATAATGTGGTCCTGAAATCTGTAGATTATCTTTGAAACATATGTCATTTTTGTCTTCCTTTTTTCATAGGAGGGGTTTGGTCCTTCATGCTAGGGAGCTCTTGCCTGTTTAAATCCCTTTGTTTTTCAGTGTTCTCTATTATCTTTGCTTTGTTCTGTGATTACCTTAATGTCACTGTTGTTGGACTGCTTCACAGTGAGCTGATCAACCTCATAGTTTGTCTCCCAGGCCCAGCAACCTCCCAGCAAATAGAAGAGGGACTGGTGAGAGTCATCTCTGACCAGGAAGCCAGAGATAGGGAACGAAGGAGCCAGATATTCTGAAAATACTGTCCCACTGAAAACCTTCACACACAGGATAAATTCCAGCAAACATATTTTTAAATATATTACTGAGCTTCCAAGAAGTTAAAGCGATCCCTATGGAAAAATATTTTAAAAATGAAAAGTAAGCCCAAGACCTGTCTTTGGGGCCAATGCAAAGCCAGCAGGTTGCTTTAGTTTCTTGCGTATGCATCATATAGGACAATGTTTGAAAACAGAAAAATGTTAGTAAATGTAGAAATTGCAGTGGCTCCTATGTGATCTCCCCATGTGATTGTTTTGTGCTAGCACAGCTGTGGAGGAAAACCAAAGTGCACATGCAATGCAGTTGTCCCAGATTCGTGCTCTGGACTCAGTCTGGTCATTTGTTTTGTCTTAGAAATCCTAACTGTATGAGTCTCCTTGATATTTGTTCAGAACAAAACATCTGACACAACAACCTAGACTAAGGCTGTCTTGATCGTTTTTCTTATCACTGGGACAAAATATCCAACATCACAACTTAAAGGAGGAGAGGTTTATTTGGGCTCACATTTTCAGTCCATACTCAAAGGTAGCATGGCGGAAAGTCCTGGCAGAGAAGCTGCTCAAATCATGGCAGCCAGGAAGTAGACAGAGAAAAGAGGAGCCAGAGAGAGATCAGCCATTCCAGGGCCACCCCCAGTGACGTGTCTCTTCTGACTAGACCTCACCTCCTAACAAGTCAGCTGCAGCACCCCATAATCCAGGAGGCTCTTGGAGGAGATCTACCATAACAGCCCACCACAGCACCCTCATGACCTAGGAATTAATACAACTCTTTCTTATAAGATGTTAATAGTTAGAGTCATGTATTAAATGACAAACAAATCAATCCTACAGACCTCACCTGCTGGGAGAGGGTGAGGAGGGGCTGTGCTGGACGCTGTGTGACCCACAGAGATGCTGGAGGAGGGCACTATGCGCCTTTGTCTAGGATGTTTCAGATCCCTGAAAGAGCAGGCCTATGAGTATGGATCCTTAGGGTGGAAATTATTATTCTTGCCATCATTTTCCTCACCAACAGTTCTTTATTGGTATCTTTGCTGAGGGCAGATTTTCCCCAGCCTCCACTGTCACTGGGAATGTAACTCTTGAGTGACTTGGCTGTGTGGGAGAAGTCTCGAGTTGAGCTCCCTACTTGGTGTAGACCAGAGCCTACCTTCCCCTTCCCATGGTCCTTAATCCTCAACGTGCTTATTCACAGTCTAGCATTTCCACCAAAGCTTAAAATCTGTATATGTTCCCCCAAATAAACACCTAACGTTCAATATCATGCATTAAAACAGCACGGCTTCTGGGGAGGAGGATTAAGGACCATGGGATCAGGAAGGTAGTGGACCCTTGCAGGGATCTCTCATTGCAAATCGCATTTCCCACTCAGTCACTCCGCATCTGGACTTGGGAACCGTGGTCAGGAGTGACATCCTTGGTACACAGAGAGGGACATCCTCTCCAGAAGGAAAGAAACACCCTTAGTCAGTTCTGCAGGTTATCAAATGTGAGCTTATAATTAAAATGTTACCAAATATTTCAATATACAAGATACCATGCATAAGACTTAGTAGAAATTCTAGGTCTCTGCAGAATTTCAGATACTGGAATTATGAGATATAGAATGTAGAAAATTAAATATGAAACACAGCAATTTAAAATATTTTATGTATCTATTTTTAAAATAATTGAACTACTCAATTAAACAGATGGAACCAAAATACTGGACAATAAGAAGGTGTCAGCTGGGAGGAAGTGATTGAAATTAAAGGATTTGGGGACAGAATCAATAGATTTCACTTTACTTAACATGCCATTCAATTGAATGAAAAAATTTAAAGAAAAGCACTAAAACAATAAAAATAGTATGGAATCTACAAATGGTAGGTTGCAAAAATAATCCAGAAGGCCTGGGGAGAAAAAGAAACAGATGAAAAGTATCACAAACAGAAACAACAAAATAAGATGGCAGAAATAAATACAAATTTATTCATAACTACAGTGAAGATACAGTTTTCAAACTCCAAAAAGCGTTTTATTTGCGAAAACGCCCGCCTTCCTGTGTGGGCCTCATGGGGGCACAGCCCTCGGCGGCTTCCTAGTCACTCAGGCCGACCAGGAGCCTCCTCCCCTCGGGCCCAGCCTGACGGCCACCCGGGCACCACGCAGGCCGTCTGCACTCAGGCGGGCCTCGCAGGGGGCTCGTCTCGGCCCGGACAGAAGGGAATTGCGCCTTGATGGCGAAGGAGGCCGAGGTCTGGAGCCTTCGCCCGGAAGGCGCCAGCGTCCTGCACCACCCAAGAGCAAGCAAGGGTCACTGGGGATCGGGCAACAGGGGCGCCGGGACGGTGAGGCTTACGGGTGGAAGGACCAGGTGTGGCTGTCCTGGAGGTCCAGGAAAAGGAGAGTCCTTCCAAAGTGGTGTGTTCTCTCCTAAAAAGAAGACAGCACTAATATTTTGGTTGACCAACGTGCTCTGGAGCCTTAGAAAAATATTCCCAAGGTTCCCCACGGATTTCTAGACAAAGAAGTGCTCTGCTGACGCGTTTCCCTTTAACTGCCACTTAGAACGGTGCTCCTAACACAGTGTAAGAGGACAAGCTGAAAAGCACAGCCTCTTCTATTTCTCGGAATCCCCGGCAGCTCCTGGAGATTCCAGCTCCCACCCCAGGCAGAAGCCTGCAGACGCTCGCGGGCGCCACCACCCGGCGGATGTGTTTGTTGCCGCTCTGCTCTTTGGTAAGCACAAGCTACTTCGGGGTTCCCAGTGTTTGATCCTTGCAGATGTTTTTTTTTTTTTCAAATAAAAGGTCAAGCCTCAGAATTATACTTCAAATACCACAAACTAGTTTTGCCCGTTGATATTTTCTCACCAGATGGACAGATGTGGGCGCTCACTGTGACCCTGTGGTCTGCCTTCCAGAAGCAGAGTTGCATAACCGACCGTCATCCAGTTACCCTTCGCAGTACCTGAGAGTCTTTCGGCTGTGAGGTAAGAAATCCAACGTGAACCGGTTTTGGTCCAAAATATGAACATGTTTGCTTTTGTAACTGGGAAATCCAGCCATGGAGCTGGACTCCCAAAAGCCAAGTGGCCCAACGATGTGTGGCAGAGCAAAGTGGGGCATCAGGAAGAGAGGCCTTGCCCCGTACACAACTCGCCCTCGAGCCCCTCGGCTGATTCAGGGGCCCTTTTCCCCAGGAGGGATGCGGATCTGTACAGGAGGAATCAAAGACAAAGACACAGTGTTTCTCTTTTAAATTGTTAAGCATATTTTTGTTAAATGTATGACAAATTCTGAAAGGGAGAGTTTGAGATTTGAAAAGCAGACATTTTGGAAAGAAGAAAAGGCTGTGGTATGGACGTGGCCCGCGTGTCCCCTCACAAGGTTCGCTGTGGGGATGCAGTGGTATTGGGCCAGTAGGACTAGTAAGATGTGGAGCCCACTGCAAAGGAGTTAGCTCAGGGCAAGCAGCATCGCCTTAGCAAAGGATCAACCCTGGTCTCCTGCAGCGAGCTCTTTCTCAGGAGAGCAGGTTGTCCTGAGAGGAGCGGCCCTGGCCTCCCACGCCTCTGGTTTCCTGTCTTTCCACACCTCCTACTGCCTCCGAGATGCCCTTCTCCACGAGGCCTCACCAGAGTCCAAGCAGGCGGGGCTGCCTGAGCTTGGGCTTAATGAGCCTCTCTACTAAGGACCCTAGCCTAGGTACTTTGTTACAGTACAGGGCGCTGGAGGGAAGCCACCCACTCTTAAGAAGCCACTACCACTACACAGTCTGTGTTCGACCACTCACTTTCCACGTCCAACGGCCTATAAAAATCCCCATGCTGGATTCCAATAGCGTTGTGTGTGCTCTGTCACTAATTCTCTGACCCCAACTAGGTGCCAAAAAGTCAGCTCAGTCATGTCACCGTGAGGGTCCCAGAAGGCTGTCTCCACTTCTGACACATCACAGCCCCAGGCTCCCCCCAGCTACTGTACTTCTGCCCTGCCAACTACAAATTTTGGGGTTCCCATGGCTCCCCTCGGGTTCAGCAGTTCTCTAGAAATACTCACGAAAGTGTCATACTCGCGATTACAGTCTTATGATAAAGGATACAACTCAGGAACAGCTGAATGGCAGAGACGGATAAGGCGAGATAAAGGGGAGATTAAGGGGACACAGAGCTTCTGTGCCCTGCCTGGGTTGCCCTTTCTGGGTGATGCTGATGTGTCACCTGCTGGAAGCTCTCTGGGTTCCGCAGCCCAGAGTTTTTATGTGGGTTCCATTAAAAACACTCATGTAGACATGAAGGAGTCAATCACTGGGCATCCGACTGAACTCAATCTCTATATCCCTTCAGTCCCCAAAGATCAGAGAGGCAGCTTGAAGCTCCAGCGCTCTGCTGACGCGGGGCTTCGCTGGTGCCTGGCCTCCATCCCAAAACCAGCTCAGAGCTCCACCTGAGAAGCCTGATTGGAACAAACTCAGGGCCAGGAAAAGAGTCTTACAATTAGTGACAGAAGGCCCTCCTGTCACTTAGGAAATGCCAAATCCCCATCTTTATGCCAAGAGCATGAGGGCAAAGATCAAGTGCATTCTATTATGCCTGGAATGGTTGGGAAGAGCCACTGGGCTGGTACACAGAAAGCAAGTGCAGTTTATGATTGCAAATTGTACCTCAATAAAGCAGACTTAAAGAAAAACAGGGGGTATGGAATATGGGTATGGAGGATAGCTTAGTGATATTTATCAAAATTCCAGTTATTTTTGACCTACCCATTCCACATTGGGAATTTGTTGCTACAGATACACTGGCACACATATGAAATTGTCTATACACAAGGTCAGTCATTAGAGCACTGTTCAGTAGCAAACAGTTGGGGAAACACCTTATTGATCAGTAAGGGGCTGATTCGAAATTGTGGCACTTCCATAGAAAGGAATAAAATACAGCTTTTAGAAATAGATGAGGACGATTTCTACGTGCTGATAGGAAAGGAGCTAAAAGCTGTATTGAAACAAAGCTCAAACTTTGTATATTGTAGTGTACTTTGTATAGTATGTTACCTTTTGTGCAAAAATGGGGAAAATGGTAATCTTTTTTATTTTTACTTTTCCCAGTACTAGAGATTGATCTCAGGGCCTTCGTACTGCATTCACAGTCCTTTTTTATTTCTGTGTTGAGATAGGGTCTTGCTAAGTTGCCCAGGATGGGCTCAAACTCTCCATCCTCCTGCCTCAGCCTCCCAGAATGCTGAGATTACAGGTGTGCACCATCAGGCCAGGCTGGTAATACATGCTTTTACTCTCTTGTACCTGCAGAAAGAAGCCATGTGAGGATAGGACAGCATCTGGGAACAATGACCACTTCATATTCCTGTGTATGGATCCTGGGTACAAGCAGAGAACTGTAGATGTTTCCCCTGGATATATGAATATCAGCATTTTTTATTTTTATAAAAGTCTGTTCAAAAAAGTAAATTTATAAATTAAATAAAAAATATGTCTTCGTTGAAGAAAGATGGTATAGGTAGGGGATATAGCAAGGATGGTGGGCCCTGACCTTTGCCTGTGAGATCCTGACACTAATTCCCGAATCCCACCTGGGGATTCCGATTCAGGGGGCTCCAGGAAGCCGGCAGCGAGGGAGCAAAGCACCGTGCTCTCTGTGAGGCCCGCAGTAACTCCACACCTGAGGGCTGTGGCCTCCCAGTTAGTTCTTGGTGCAGTCCTCGGAGGCAGACGGGAGCAAGGAACCAGTGGTTGGGTGAAAGCCAGCAACATTTGAAACTTTTCGTCAGTGAATTTCCTGATCAATATGAAGAAAAGTGATTGGAGAGGAAGTATGGAGAAGAAGGCTCATTTTTCATATTACCTCGGTTATGGTTCTGGGGAAGACTCTGACATCTACTTCAAGTCCAAACAAGATGAGCTTACCTCTGACGAAGACCTCCTCAGTGAGCCTTAAGCGTGCTGTCTCCATTGTGTCCACCAGAGGGCAACGTGCCCATGTTTCTGTAGAGAAAGGAAGCGCTCGAAACCTCTCGTATCATTTTTCTTAATGACTTGTTAAACCTCGCTTAGTATCATTTTTCTTAATGACTTGTTAAACTTTGGTTTTAAAACGAGTCTTCCTCATTGAAAAGTAAATCTAAATGTAATTCATTCAGAAATTTCTCCGCTTTAGAAAATGGAACTTAGAAAACAGGAAATACTCCCAGAAATGTCAATGAGATGTTAATTGGAAGGGTCTAGTACTTAATCCTTTATTTATTTATTTATTTTTTGAAATCAAAGAGAAACCTTTATTTCCAACAAATATGCCTATGAGATAGTCCATTGGTCTGCTATAAACAAGTCTCTCTTCACACACAGCACCAAAGTATATATTTAAAAAATTAAAACCACACAGCCCCACCCCTCACACACACACATCTCCCCAAAAGCCACACAGCTCGGACCAAAAGGGAAAAACAAGTCAAACTCAAGACCCTCGCACAAAAGTCATCTGTAAGTTAGGATTTACAAATTTATATATTTTTTCCTATGAAAAACAAAACAAAAAATAAATGAAAAACAAGGGGTAAGGATACACTGAAAATAAAGGCTGGACAGGACTGAGGAGAATTAACAAACATCCTGTCTGCCTGTGAGCCAACAAAGCAAAAGAATGATCAGTGCTCTTCATGTGCTCTGAATGGGAGCCTTAAGTTAACCGATATTCCCTAATAATGCAGCACTCAATGACAAGGTAAACCCGCAGGGGTCAGAAACACCAGGAGCACTGGGACAGTAGCCAGCAACGTGTCGAAATCCTGAGGATGTACCACAAGGCACAGACTGCTCAGACTCCTAAAGTGTCTTTCCTGTGGGTTTGCCAGCATTTAAAAGGGACACATTCCTTTTTTAAAAAGATGCCGGGTCAAAAAGAAAAGTACAAAGGGGTGAAGGGTTCTCTACTGCAGGGGAAGTCTTTCCATCACAGTCCGAGGGGAGGTGAGTCCTGTGCCATCACGGCAGTGCCAGGGTCTGCCTGCAACAGCTCTACTTGGGCTCCTTGATCACACCCTTGCCAAGGTCTGTCATTTTGGGATATTTTACTTTCTTCTGGTCCAGCTCGTTCTGAGCCCAAAGTAGTAGTGTCAGTAATTTTGCCAGCTTGGGTGTTGATTCACGATTCTCATATCTAGAACAGCTTGGTTAACTTCACTCCACACCTTTTGCCTCTGCATCATGTAGAGAAGGTCTCGGAAGCGTGACTCCTTGGGGCTGTCAAAGGCCAGCAGGGCCAGTGTGTGCTCCATCTCCGTGAGGCACTCTCTGCTTTCCTCGCCCTGCTCTGCCAGCTGTGTCTGGGTGAACTCCAGTGCTGCCTCAGTCTCATGCTGGCGGATCAGCTCAATCAAGTGCTGCTGCTGCGGATGACAGTAAAGATACTGGTTTGTGTCCAGGAGCTCTGGATGGAGGCTGTTGATCAAGGTGATGGCCTCTTGAATCTGACCCTTCAGAATCATCTCCTGAATCTTGATCCGTTCATCAAGTGTTTCTAGATCCACACTTGGTTCAATTCCAGATTCCATTCGAAATTTTTTGGCTGCTTCCTTAAAGCCCTCTGTGACCAGATAGTTCATGATGAGTCAATTCATGTCTGCCCGCTGGACATGTAAGTTATTGAGCTTTTCCATCCACTCATCTTTTGTGATTTCATTGGGCTTTTCTGCATAACTCATTCTGATTTATTTTGTGCTGATCCCTCCTATTTTTTTTAAGGCAGTAAAAAGTTAGGAGACCTTGGGCCTTATTCTCTATCTTTGATGCTTTTTCTTGCCTTTTCAACATGATATGATCAACTCTTGCCGATTAACCAGATGCAGGTCTATGATAGATGAATGTTTGGGATATATGCAGTAGCTAAGACAGCTTATTGAGGATACTCAAAAGAAAAAGAGGAAAGAACACAAAACATGAATAGGCTATAAGTGTGAACAAGAAAAACATTAGTGGAACATCTGGCAGTAATGCTTTAAACTTGAATGGACCGCTTCCTAGATCTAGTCACATGGAACAGTCACTCATTTAAACGTTTTTGGACTGGGAGCTTCATGAGTCTGAAAATGAAGGTATTAAGATGTCTTCTCAGTTTTTCTTAGACAACAGCAGGCCCATCTTGAAGCCTTTTGCCAATCAGCCTATTGATAATACTGGGCCTATATTCAAAAGTTATATTAAATTCTATGTCATAACTTTTTTGCAGATAAAAAAAATGCTAAATACTGAATTGATTGATTTCTTTTTATTTGAAAGGAAGTGCTGCACTTTGAAGGTGTATTTATGGTATATCCACAAACTTAAAGGGTCACTCAGTCACTGTTTTAGGGTCCTCTCTCATTGTTGAGACAAAATACCCAGCACCTACAATTTAGGGATACTTTTTTTTGTTTTGCTTTTGCTACTGGGAACCGAACTCAGGACCTCATGTTTGCCAGGCAGGTGCTGTGCTGCTGAGCTACATCCCCAGCCCCCAGAACCCACAATTTAAAGGAGGAAAGGTTTATTTTTGAGTCACAGTTTGTAGATGTTTCCATCCATAGTCAGCTGGCTCCAATGCAGGGCAGTATGACAGAGGAGAAACAGATCATGGCATGGCAGACAGGGGACAGAGAGAGATAAGGGAGGAGGGAGGGAGACAGATCTTTCCAGGCCACGCCCCCAGTGACCCACCTCGTCCAAGCAGGATTCACTTCTCAACATCACATTTAGCTATAAACTAATCATACCCCCATGATCCAATCCAATCACCTCCCCAAAGCCCCACCTATGCACTTATGAGGCTTTGGGAGGACATCTAGACATAAACCGTGGCAGTCACCATAGAGCTCTGTGCTAGATCGTCTGCAGGCATGATGGCGTTGCCTCTCCAAAGGCTAAGAACTGTTTCCCAGCATCCTCTTCTCTCTGTGGTTCTGGGTTGGAGTTGCTAGGAGCAGGGCTTAGAAGGGCCTTGGAGGAAGGGAGGTGTGAGAGAGAGGCCATTACGCTTGGAGGACTGTGCTACAGATGAGAGGGGGGTGGTCCAGTTCATCCTGGCCATCCTCTGCTCCTCATTCAACTTGTCTCCTCACCATTTGGTCTGACAACCAATAGCAGCCACAGGCCCACCAAGCAGCACTTGACAGACCCCCACAGAAGTAGGTTTCCAGGGTTGAGGAACTTCCCACAGACCCTTCTCTGTGAGCTGTCCCTCACTGGCCTCACCTCTCAGGCCAATGCATTCAGCTCCTCATAGCCTTCCCCAGCCTCAGCCCACCCAGCCAGCTGGGCAGCAGCCATGGTGGTTAGTGCTCTCTGTCCTCTATCTCTTTAACTCAACCTTCTTCTGGCCCTGACTCCTTAACACAATGTAAGCTCCTATTCCACTGTTAAACCCGAGTCCCTGGGAGACTTGAAAGAGCTCTTTTCTATCTGAACTCTGATAGATGCTGTTTTAAGTTTGACTTTGGTGTAAAAACAATGAACATGATAAATGCTTAAGGAAGTGCAGAACTTCACATTTACTAGTTAGTCTACATACCCTACGACAGCAGTCATTATAGCTGTTTATTGTGAACAGAGCCACAGACTTGGCCATCAGAGCAACTGGCTTCACCAATTCACATCTGTGCTATCCTGGGCAGCTTGCTTCCTCTCAGCCTTATTTCCCTCCTCTGAGAGCTGTGGAATTGATCATCTCCTCCTGATAGGATTGTTTTCAGGATTAAATGAGATAATTACTCAGTGTTTCCAGTATTGGCACAATGCCATTGGTAAAATAGCTTCCATCAGGTCAGTTGCCAGCTTGGGAGCTGGGTCTGGGGAGGGTCCACAAGTGCCTAGTCACCATGAAGGTGGACAAAAGAAGCCCCCGAGGCAGCCCAAGAAGCAGGCCCAGGGGATGATGAGACAGGGCATTCAGCAGAAGCAAAGAGAGGAGCAGAGAAAACTCGAGGGGCTAAGAATGGAGGCTGTGGAGGAGGACAGCCTTAATTCCTATGGGGGATTAAGAAATCAGGCAAAAAAGTAAAGTGTTCCTTGTGCCGGAGCTGTGCCTCAATTCCATCTCTATTTAAGCATCTAGAGTCCCTGCCTTAACTTCTTTTTACACCTATAGTCACAACGAAGTGTTGTCTTGGAGTCTGTTCATTTAACATAATTTTTTTTTCTTTTTTTGCTAATACTGAGGATTGAACTCAGGACCTTGTGCTTGCCAGGCAGGCACCAGGCCACTGAGCTGAATCCCTGGGCCTAACATAAAATTTGTAAGAAAAGAAAATCACATGGAGAAAAATAGCTGCAATCATAGATGTCTTAGGTCTGAGAGTTTTTGGAGTATGAAAGAAAATATATCCTAAAAACATCTCTGCTAACATAACTCCAAATGCTGACAAAGACTTTTTTTTTCTCTTTTGGTACCGGGGATTGAACTCAGAACCCTGTGCTTGTGAGGCACCCATAATACCACTAAGCTAAATCTCCGGCCCTGACAAAGACTTTTTAAGAGAACTTTCAAAGTGGGTAGTTGAGTTGGCAAGGACAGAGGCAGACCCTCAAGGGCAGAGCGCGCTCACCTGTGCACTCAGCAACTGCAGGGAGGAGCGGCTCTGGAGCTGGACTGGGCCCCAGACTCAGACTTTCATAGCAACCCGGGATGCAGGGCCATGCAGAAGACGGGACCAGGACCAGGGCCAGCAAGACAGAGAGGGCTCACAAGGGCTGCCCCACAAAGAAGGACAGTAAAGAAGTTTGCTGGACCTGACCTCTTCCCTCTTCTCTAAATAGAGGAATAACACACACACACACACACACACACACACACACACACACACACACCTCTCTTAAGAATGTGTAATGAGAACAAGTTCCCCAGCAGATCTAGAGATCCAACTGTTAGTACCTGTGCAATCTCCCCAAATTCTAAGCCAAGAATGTGGAAGCTGTTCCTATCCCTTATGTCCCCAGCTAAAAATAGTGCTCCTGTGTCTCTTCATGAAAGAGGTGAAGACACCACATTACAGTGATC